GAGTTATGGATGGTTGTTAGATACCATGTGGGTGCTGAGAATCGAACCCAAGTCTCTTCCTCCCAAGACCTCTGTTTACAGGAGTTTGCCACTGCACCTGGATTTGTTTTGTTTTGTTTTGTTTTTGCATGCATTCTGGGGGTCGCATTCACCAACTGCGGCATCAGCCCAGGGCTGTTTTGTTTTGTTTTTTTTAAAGATACTGTAACATTTGACATCTGTTTTGCTGCCTTTTTTTTTTTTTTTCAGGATCTCTCTGTAGCTGAGCTGGAACTCACTCTCTATGTTGAGCAGGCTGGCCTAGGAAGTCTCACATTTCACAGAGATGTACCTGCCTCTGCCTCCTGAGTGCTGGAATTTAAGGCATATGCCACCATGCCCTGCCAAAATCTATTATTCTAAGATAGTGTACATCTATTCAGTATTTTTTGTGCAATAAGCAAAATTGACCTGGTAACTATTGGGCTTAAAGTTAACACTTTGCCCAACGGTTGCAGCTAGATGACAGGCTTAAATTCTATTCTGAATGGTTCTCAAATGTTTCAAAAAGTGGACATGTTTTCCTTTCTCCTGTTTGTCTGAGCTTTATCTTTAGAAAGGCTTCTTGTTTCATGTTTAGTCTGTAGATTATTAGATCAACACATTATCAACAGAGAAAGGCCGTTGATGGCAGAAAAATCTCTGCATCCAGTTTTGGTCAGATCATCTCTGTTGTGTTTGCTCAGCCTAGGCAGTGGGTCTGTTCTGTTGGGAGCCAAGAGACATTCCAGTCCACTCAAGGCTGAGATCGGGCTTGTCCTGGGTTCTTCTGGCAGATTGCTTTCTACTTGACACACAGGGAAGTCTTAGAAGAAGAGCATCTTACTGTTTCTGTTTTACAGAATAGACGAAGCTTTATTTTGGAATCCAAGAATATCATTGTCACTATTGAATGTGTAAGTTTGATTCTTTCTGGAACCAGTCCTTTTATTACTCAAGTTGGCATAAAGGAAACAATGCCAACTTTGAGAAAAACAGGGAAAGTCCTCGCGTTTCCCTCTCCCCTCAAAAACCAAACCAAACAAAAACACCCCTGGGGCAGGTATCAGGAATACTCCCGATTATTAATTACTGTGTGGGAGGTTTTCTGGCTCCCCAGCAAAGGTGAAACCCCAGAAGGAAGGCATCAAAATTCTAGTAAGACTGAGGTTTGGGAAAACACTGTCACTTGACCAGACCAGCAGGAATCTCAGTGAAATTAACTTAACCATGACAGATGCACTGTCTTGGTGTAGGTCCAAGGATTCCTATGAAGATGCAGGTCTGTATCCCAGGGAGACGGTGGATGGAAACAGCAGGCAATTCTCCATGCGAAGAAAAGGCGGGTTTGGAGTCCGCTCTGCGTACACTGCTCTTCTGTGTGGTTGTTCCAATAACTGCTCTTCCCAAACTTGACCCTGAACTTTCCTGTGGCTTTTAGGGATATTTCAAGCCCATTGTAGCTGTTGCCCTTGTCCCCTCTCCCTCGGATCAGTGCCTTTATGCTCAGGGTGTTCCCAGTGATGGAGAGCTGGGTAGGAACTCCCATGACTCAGTTTGCTGGCCAGTCACCCGGGTTAAGGCCTCCTGGGGACCCAGGACCCATATGCCTTCTTCATGGCCACCTTGCACCAGACCAAAGCCACTGGTGTTCCTGGTGGTGGGCATTCTCGGCTCTGTCCTCTTGTGTTCTGCCATGTGGTTCTCGCCTGTCTGACCTTTTCCTTCTGTTGCCACCACCTTCCTACACACTCAGCCCATTTCTGCTTAGGATGCAGGTTTGTCCCCATGCCTGCCTCTCCTTAGCTGGCCTGGCCTACGTAGGACCTCACAGGGCCTCACCATCAGCAAGTGCTTTCTCTCTGTCGTAGGCTCCCCACCTCAGAGTTTGGCATTTTTTTAAGTGATCATTTTGAGTGGTTATGATACAGATCGGTATTGATATTATCCTTGAGAAATATGTAATTTCGCATGCTGAGCTTATCTGGATAGCAGAAGACCCGGAGAAATGTATTTATGAATGTTGTATTTATAACTCTTTTCCCCTAGTATGACCAGAGTAGCTTGTGTGCATCTGACACGGATGAGCTCACGGAGCCCCTTCACTCTTCCTTCCCCGAGCAGGCATCTGTGGGGTCACTTGGGAGAACAGATCTTGAATTTCACTGTGGATTTAGCTAGCATTTCTGGTTTTTGATTTCTAGTGAAAATGAACATCGTATGTTTATTTTGCATGGAAAGTTCTTATTCAGTAAATGTCCATCATCCTTTGCCCAAAGCCATTCTTTTTGTTTTGTGTGTACTGATCCTTTGCAAGTAGCTTATTCAAGGCCTTGGATTTTCTTTATTCCTCAGCATTCATTTAGTATATGTAAAAACTGAAATTTAACATGTACACATTTATCAAGTCTTCTTTTTTGGTTGCCCTTTTTGATCTAAAATTTTTTTCCCTGATCTGAGATCTAAAAGATGTAAATTTTTGCTTTTTAAATTTTTCTCTTAAACTATTCAAATTTTTCTTTTCATGTTTGGTATGAGGAAGGGCTATCCTTGTTTTATGATTCCTAGTCCATTTATTTCCCCACAGATGAATGTTAACATGTCTGTTATGAACTAGTGTTCTGTGTGTGTAGAGTTGGCACCCTGGTGGGTGGCCCTGTTCTATTCATGTGTCAGACTCTGTTCACACGATTGTTGAGGTTATTGTATAGGTTTGGTGTCTCACGAAGGGTCGACATCTTGTGAGGGGTCTGACGTCTCACGAGGGGTCGACATCTTGTGAGGGGTCTGACGTCTCGTGAGGGATTTGACATCTCATGAGGCAATGCTCTGCTTTGTTCCTGTTCAAAGTTGTATAGAATCTTTGGACCTCAGATCTTATACAAAAACTTTAGACTCAGCTTGCAAAGTTCCCAGAAAAATCCTTTTGGAATGGTGATTTAGGCCTGTATTAATTTGTTAAAAGAAGAATTGAAATCTTGAGGCTGTTGTGTACTTTTGTGTATGAATGTGATGTTGAAATAGTAAAATTTAGAAGTAACTAAAATTTTTCAGTTGTTTTTCAAATTTATCTCCACAATGTTTTTTTTTTTCAACGTAATTGCATTATGATCAGGAAGGAGGTCACACGGAATGGATTCTCAGCATCCATTTGTGAGCTTTGTGGTACACTTAATAGTCAGGTTTCAAATAGCCTATGTATAACTTGAGATGGGTGAATTTTCTCTAATTTGGGGTATCAGGTTCGTGTATTTGATAAATTTATTAAAGTCAGTCAATCGCTATGTAAGAAGTATAACAAATTCCTTCACTACAATTGTGTACTAGATATCGCTGTATATAGCATTTTAGCACCCTCAAAATAATAGCTCAAAGACAGAAGTTACACAGCATGGTCTCTCTCAAAGTCTTTGGACATAAGAAAAAATAAATTTCTTATGTTTCCAAGTGTCCAGGGCTCATTACCACCCCTCCTTGCTGACCTTGAATATAGACTTTGGTTGTAGACATCATGTGTTTTCTTTTTCCTGCCACTTCTGACAGCCAGAGATGACTCAGCTGGGAGTTTCTTGTGAGGATGACTTGGGGCTCATGGTGGAGTATGTGAGATCCTGTCTTTAACACTAGGAAGCTTCGTGTTCTCCACATGCAAGCACATTCCACTGAAATTAAGTATGATTTTGCCCACATACTATATCCTTGGATAAATAAACTGAGAAAATATATTTCAAAAATATTTGTATCTTAATTTTAGAAGTTTTTGTCCATCAGTGAAAACAATAGCTCTTCAGAGCGGATTTCATTCCCCAGTGGCCCAGCCAACTCCCCAGCTAGTTCCTTTAAACTTTTTTCATGTACTTACCTAACTTCCCCATCTCCCACCTTTTCTCTGACTCAGCCTTTCCTGTGACACTCACAGAGTGGTTCCCTGCTGAGAACTCCACTGAGTTGAGAACAGTTCAGTTTGCACACATGCGGCAGCCAAGAGCCTAAAGCTGGCCTTTGGCATGTACAGGCCTTTGGATACTTCTTGACAGAGAAGAAATCTTCCTTAATTGGATCCACTTTTCAGACCAGCACCATGTCATTTTCTCTCCGTCTTCTGAATATCTTGTTTTGAGATGACACCGTTATTTTTAAGTTAATGTAGAGAGAACTTAATATATTTGATATGTTGCAGAATATGTAAATAGAAATCAGTTTTAGGTTGAACATTGATTCTAGCACATCAAAGTTTTAACATAGATCAATTTAGATGCTTTTATGTTTATATACTTATCTATCATATAAGTATATGCACATACTTAGAATGTGTCTTCCTAGATTGCCTTCTGTTTATAGTGATACCCATGACTGGTGACCGCATATATGCCAAGCTCATTGCATGGTGTTTTATACACATGACCATCTTTTGTTCTACTCACATGTGACGCTGTTTGCTCATCACCATTTATAGACAAGAGTTTTGAAGCAGACCTGAGACATGCTCAATAATTTTCTCAAGCACTGCCTGGGTATGGCAGATCCTCCGTTCTAACCAAGCTGGGATTCCTGCTTCTGTACTTTTTTTCCTTTTTTCCATTTTCTCGTGTGTGTGGGTGTGTATGTGTGTGTGTGTGTGTGTGTGTGTATGTGTGTGTGTGTGTATGCACATGCACTCATGGGAGACCTGAGATTGATTCCAAGAATCATCCTGGATAGCTTCCTACTTTATTGACATGGCCTCTCAATCAAACCCAGAGGTTGTTGATGTGTCTAGTCTCATGAGCCAGCTTGCATGGGGATCCTGTCTCCACCTTCCCAGACTAGAACTGCAGGCAGGCTGCGATAACGCTTGACATTTACCTGGATTCTGGGGATTAGAACTCTGGTCCTCACACTTGCCGGGCAAGCACTTTAACCACTGAGCCAGCTCCCCAGCCTGTTTCCGTGCTTTTAACCACAGGCCAAGCAACTAAGACATTAACGCATTGTATCTTCAGGTCATCACCCAGCAGTCTTCTCACATCATCCTTTAGGCAGCACCAAGAGTCGCTGGCGGCAGAGAGAGAACGGAGGCGACAAGAGAGAGAAGAAAGACTGCAGAGGATCGAACGGGAAGAAAGAAACAAATTCAAGTAAGGACTTCAAGTTAACTCTGAGTTGAAATTTGAAGCACTTGACTTCATGGACTTTCTAAAAGGGTTAGGAAATAACTTGTTTGCTCCTAATTCTGTCTGTATGTTTGAAGAAGGGTAAGACTTGCCTACAAGAGGCTGGGTGTTCTAGCCTTTCCCTAGCCATGTGGCAGGAAGCACAGAAAGCCAAATCCAATTAGGGCCATGTGCATCCTTGACACACCGTTAGTTAAAGTGTTCTTATCCAGGCCTTTTCCAGGACACAGAGTTTAATTGCCTCAATGCAATTTCCCATTTCTCCTGAGTCCTCATGTTTTATTCATAGGCTTAATGGATGCTGGAAAGAAACTCTTTCATCACTTTCTGGTTTGTATCTTGTACCCTATGGTAATCTTGTGTTCGTAAATATGTGTGTATATGTATGTGGATATACTTATACCTGATAGACTCTGTCTTCTGTAATCCATATTCTTTCTTCCTGTGGGGGAATCATTGTGTTGATTACTCCCATTGTCCTTCATCTCTCTGTCCCTGTCTAGCTCCTGGGTGTGTTCCTGGGTGTGATGGCCCGTTGAAGACCGCATGTCTGTCCCCACTGAGCCCAGAGTCCCTCTGCTTCCCCCCTGTGTCTGTTCACCTGCTCTCCATGTTCCAGATCCACCTCCTTCCACTCCCTCCCTGGGCTCCACATGCTGTGCTCTGCAGAAACCAAAACACACACACAGTCCTTCCTTACGCACGTCCGTCCTTCCCCTTTCCTCCCCTGCTTTCCATTCTCTCCTTCCCACTTCTCCCCTTCTCATTCTCCTGCATCTTCATCTCCTTCATCTTCTCAGTTATCTCCCCCATGGCATCTACATTTTTCCTTCCTTCCAGTTCTCTCCCTATCTCTCTCCTCCTCATTTTAATTTCTTCAGCAAATATTCATTTTGATGACACTCAGTTAAATCAACAAAGGATATAAGGTATTATCAAAGAGAACTTCCACATTCAATAACTGGTGTTTTCCAGAAGCCAGGAAGAGTGTGTGTCACTATGGTAATGGTAAGCATGAGAGGATCGTGTGGCTGCTCAGTGGCCGTTCACTACCTCATGGAAACCCATGCTCCAGGTCTCTTGATAGAACGCCAAGCCTGGCTTTGGTGAGGCAGGTGAGCAGGCAGCATGAAGTAAACCAGCATCATTTCCTGCCAGGCTTGCGTGGTATGCTCTAAGTTGTCAGGTTTCTGCCAAACGATGAGTGGGAACATCAACCTTGTGTGCACCCCTTCTGGTAGTTCCAGAAATTGTTTATACAATCCAGTTTTTAAAACCTTTGGAACAGGTTAAATGCCTCCTGATTTATGGATTTCTAAGAAATCACATATTCTACCACCAATTAGCAGCAGGGAATTTGCCTGAAATATGTGGAAAATTTAGGGATTAGCTTATTCATCCCAAGTTTTTATTGTAAACCTCTTAAAGTAGGGTGCCAGTTTGGAAAGAAATTGAGTCTACATGCTTCAATCTGTCTGTTTCATCACTGAATGCAACTATAAATCACGGAAAGACTACACGGAGCTCTGAGAAGTCTGTGATGTGTGAGGGAGCAGGTGGATAGAGGGAGACCAGCATTCAAGTCTCATATGAGAGAACTGGTGTTTTTAATCTCCAGTAGTGCATAGCACTAACTCAAGGGCACCCCCACACCCTGAAGCACACCTTACATGTGGACCAAAAAATGCTCTAGAAGAAACTACATATTTCTGGACTGACGCACAGTCAAAGGAGTCTCCAAAGCTCAGATCCCCCCTTTTTCTTCTTACTCTGGTCTCCACTCGTACTGCCACAAAAGCACGGTGATGCAACCGTGGCTAACCAGTGCGTGACAATGAGGGGACCCTCCTCTGAGGAGTGCGAGTAGTGGCCCCATAAGCACTAGGCACATCATTCTCTGTCCCTCAGCTTGACTGCTCTGATTGCAGAAGTCATCAAAAACGTGACCATAGTATTAAGAAAGTCACAAAGAACAGAGATCCGGAGAGTACACTTAGCCAGGAGTGATGACACATGCTGTAATCCTGGCACTTGGGAGGTAGAGGCAGGAGGATCAGTAGTGAGTTTGAGTCCAGCTTGGGCAGCGTGAGACTCTGCCTTAAAAAGAAAAGAATGAAATCTGGGGAAATTGTAAAGTGCTTGTCATGAGAGCATGAGAACGTGTGTAAAAAGCTTGGTTCGGCAGCATGTACTTGTTAAGGATTACAAGTGGATCACATGCATGCAGTGCCTGAGGAGGTCAGAAGAGGGCATCTGATCTGAAACTGGTGTTACAGTTATCAGCTGCCCTGTGGGTGCTGATATCACAGTCCTCTGCAAGAGCAGTAAATGCTCTTAACAGCTGAGCCATCTCTCCAGCCCATGGCCTGTGCTTTGGGCCCAGCATCTCAGGGTTAGCCTTTAGCTTCTGGTGCTTTTGCTGAATGCAGTTTCAGGCTTCCTGGGCAATGCCATGCTTTCCTTCTAGTATAGAAAGCAGTAAGGAAGGACGTTTATAAATGAGGACCCAGCTGCATCCTTGCGGTATTCTCCTCCTCCCCATCTTAACCTACTTTAGACTTTCCAGTGCTGTCCTTTATATTCAGGTATTAGAGCACCTCGGGGTAGAACCCAGAGCTACACTCTGAGGCCCAGAGTAGAAAACCACACTGTTGAAACTTGCTGGGTAAACAGTCTACTGAAAGACAACTGACCACCCAGTCTTACCCTTACATTCAGGTTGGAACCTTACTAAGGGACCAGAAAAGCAAAACATTAAAATTGGATGATGGTGGGCATCTTATAGGTTCAAATAAAAAGGTGCATAAAGTCATATCTGCCAGTGACCCTGGCACAGAATCAGAGTGATCAGTGGTGCTTCTCAGTGACTCAGCACTTTCCTGTTTTCCTGACATCCCTGGATTTCAGTGAAAAAGTCTTTATAATTAGTACTTTTTAAGTACAGCCTTTTAACTTTTTAAATTTCAGTTAAAACAAGATTTCATTTTTCAAGGCTTCCTGATACCCTGTTAGTAATTTCTTGGTAATTTTATGAATGTCTAATTCTGTTATTTCCCTTCCCTTTTTGTTTCCTCCGAATATTTCTGCTAGCCGAGAATATTTAGACAAAAGAGAAGAGCAGAGACAAGCAAGGGAAGAAAGGTATGTATGCCATCTGCCTGTCCCCAAGTGGCTCGGGGCTTCGCCGGTAACCAAACATGCAGAGGAGACCATTTCTTATGCTGTGTTAGCGTCACCTAAGTCACCTTAGCTTTATATAGCTGGTGTTTTGCAAACGCCTGTTTTCCCTATCTAAGTTTTCCAAGAAAAGTCTGGATTCATAATTTACGATAGATGGGGTAACTAACAGAAATCAGAGGTATAAAGAGACATAGAAATGCCATCATGGTGAAAGCTGTGTGTCTGTACCTCCAAAGCTGTTCTCCAAACGAGCACATTGTTGTTATTATCTCCATGTATGCTAGGTACAGTCACCTGTCGCATAGTGATGAGACTATATTCTGATATCTGTGTCATTAGGTGATTCTGTCTTTGTGTGAACACCTTAGAGAGTCTAACTGCTGGCAGACCATCACTGTGTAAGTGATCTTTAACGGAGCAGAGCATCGTAATGCCTTCATTGACTGCATTTGAAACATCTTGCATCAGCACCTCTGAGCCTGGATTAGGTGTCCTTACCGTGTACTTCTCGGTCACTTGGTCAACATTCAGTCAATCAGTATTGGCGCACACGTGCTGTGCTGGGTACTCTAGAGTCCATAATGTCTCCAAGACCCTTGCTTTTGGTGTCTGATCACTTCCTCCCCTCCCCCAACTGCTCTCATCTCCTGTATGGCAGGAACCATTCAGGTGTAACCCCCAAAGTATTTGGCAAATGCATAGACACTTAGGAATGCCATACCGAATGAATAAATGATGAGATAGTGAGATGGCTTAACAGTTACGTAAAGGTGCTTGCTGCCAAACCTTACAACCCGAGTTCAATTCCTAGGACCCACATGATGGAAAGAGAGAACCAACTCCTGCATGTTGTCCTCTAACTTCTGCATACAGGTATACATGCACACACACAAATAAAGAAATGTTATTTAAAAAATAAACTAACAAACTAATGGCTTTATTTAAAATCTTCAAGTTTCAAATTAGTTCATTTCTTTTTTTATGTGTATGTTTGTTTTTCCTGTATTATGTATGCGCATCACATGCATACAATACCCGTGGAGGCCAGAGAAGGCATCAGATCCTCTGGAACTGGGTTACAGAGAGTTATTAGCTGGCATCTGAATCATGTCCTCTGCAATAGCAAGCAGTACTCTTAACCACTGAGCAGCCTCTCCAACCCCTAGTCCATCATTTCCAATGGCAACATGATTTTAACCCCATTAAAAACTGTAAAGTTCACATACTCAGTTTCTGATAGATTTAAATAAGCCAAAGAAACTGGTTGTGGAAGTAGACCAGTTTTCACCCGTGTTCGACGGCCTGCAGTTGCTTCCTCTGCCACCAGATGGCGATACAGCATGGGGCAAGGAAAAGACTTGTTTTAAGCCCTTAGACCCGCAGCGGCTGGGAGCCGAACCTTTGCTGGTGCCAATGTGACGTGAAATTGTGCTAATGTCAGCTAAATAGATCAAGACAGTCTGAGTCAGTGATGAGGGGAGACTGCCTGTGCTCAATTAAAAAATTAGATGCTGAAGTCAGCCTCATGAATAAAACATTGCTTTCTTTCCAGCATTCTATTAGATTATTTTCAACCTAATAACCAGTGGTGGCCAGTAAATTCAGAGTGAAAGGTGCTGATAAGGAAACAGGAAATTACTTTCTCTGACAAGTGCCTGTTTGGGTTATTTGAGAACATAACTTTTACTGAAATGCTGTTGATCTTTCAACCTGAGTTTAAATTTCATATTTTCAGGTTCCCCCTCCAGATTCCGCATGTTTGAGCTTCTGACAACTTGACTGTCAGGTTATGGCTGCGCAGGCATCACTTGGTGGCTCCTGGGGGAAGTGTCAGGGTGCTTTGTCAAGGTCAGAGCAGGCGCAAGCTGACTTAACACGGATGTTGTGGATATTGTGCTGTCCTTTTTCCATTCAGGGTTTGTTTGTGGCTGGAGAAGGTTGTCACTCCCCTCCTTCCCCCAGCTTCCAGTGGCTCCCCTCCCTCAACTGCCTCTGTGGCAGACTGCAGTGAGGCGTAGGCCTGTGGCTTGGGTCAGCTGTTGTGCTTGATTAGTTAGTTTCTAGAATTAGCTGTGAGGTTGTAGGTGATGGACACACTCAAATCCCTATTGGAAAGCTTTGAGGGTTCATGGCAGGCCAGGAAATGGTAAGATTTCCTAAGTAAGGGGTAATTTGGAAACAGACTGTGGCAACTAAGAGAAATCAAATGTGGAAAGAGGCATAGGCCTAAAAAGACCCCGCTGTTAACCCCTCCAGCAGGCACACCTGCTGTGTCTCTGTCTCCTACACTTACTAAGAAGATGCGAGACACGGCTTAGCTAATAGCAGATGACTTTTGAGGTTCATATCCTGCAGGTTTAAGCAGAAAAGTATTGCTTTGCTGTACTGGGGACCAGTGGCTGTCCAGTTCCTTTATTTCATATGATTTCAGAATTTTAAGCAAATTGGTTGGGGTTGTTTATTTGGTTGGTTTTGATTTTATGAGTCCGGCTTGCATTAAGTAGCCAAAACTATTTTCAATCTCCCCATTCTCCTGCTTCAGCTTCCAAGTGCTGAGATTTTAGGTGCACCCAGGTGTCCACCTCAGTGGACTGATAGTCATGCAGATCTGGAATGCACTTCTGGTGAGATGGTCCTTCTGCATGTTCAGTATTAACGTAAGAGCTTTGCATGGCAGTGATCCACTCAATGAAATTCATTTTGTTAAAGCTGCAGAAATAAGAGTAATAACAAGGTCCAGCCCGGGGGCACATTGGAGTGGGGTGCCATGGTTTGCGTTTGTAAGGGCCATGGCAAGAAACAGGTTACAGGAAGAACGTAGAAGGGACAGTTTGGGACTTCAGTAGAAATTTGGAACTGATGCATGATGGTGATCCAGGAAGCCATGAAGAAAGAGGCTGGTGGCCTGAAAGATGTCACAGGGCACCAGGCTTAAGTTCAATGCGACTGAGAATTTCTGAGGACGACAGCTGGAAAAGTCACTGGTGACTAATGTGGCTTAACTCATATGGGGTTTCTGTAGGGTTTGATAAAGACACGTTGAGCCACAATTGCAGCCCTGCCCCATGGCACCTTCTGGGTGTCAGAGTTCAGTCTAAAGGTTTGTCACCCTCTTTCCCACTAAACTGTGAGCTGCATGAGGATGGGATATCTTTCTGTGTATCGTTAATTCTCTAGTGTTGACTACAGTCTTGGAACGTGATAGGGATGCTGTAAATGTTCAGTGAACACATGAAAAGATGGGTGCGTGAACACAGGAGAGGAGCAGAGCAGAGGGAAACGGAGGCTTGATGGGGGACCCGAGGAGAGGGGCTGGTTCTTGAGCCTGTGTTTGGCTGACAGGCTAACTGGTGCCTTGCATGACGGCTTCGTCATGGTCTGGTGGTTAATGTTGCTTCACAAGGCATCAAGGATCCATGATAGTGAGCACATGGGCCAGCCACCCCCCATATTCCATATGATTGGGTCTCTAAATGTATGACTGTTAAGGGCGTTGTGTATAGGAATGTTATGATATTTCCAGCTTCATCGCTTCCTGTAGGGCAGGAGGCTGCCAGGCTGTGACTTCTATGCAGACCAGCACTCCACCCTCATCTCCTGCTGCTGCTCTTACAAGAAGATAGTGCTCCCAACCCTCCTCTCTACCCCCATCATCGAAGAGTGTGTGTGTGTGTGACCTGACATACACTGGATCATCTTAGCCGTTGAAGTATATGGTTCAGCAATATGAGGCATGTTCACACTATTCTACTACCAGTCTCCAGAAGTCTTATTGTGTGAACTGTGCTATGCATCTACTTAACACACACACCCCAGCCCTGCTCATTTCTGTCCACTGTGTGAGCCTCCTCATTCCTTGGGATGATTGACTCTTCTCCTGGGCCACAGATCTTTGGTGATGGCCTTCATGAGACCCACTTATATCCAGAAATAGTCTTTGTGACATACATATTTGAGCAGGCTCTGAGAAGAGCAGCCTCTTGGACCCCTCCACCAAACTGATCTCAACCCTTGTCTCCCAACCTGGCTGCCCACAGAGAGGGTTATGGAAGACCAGGACCAACTAAAATAAAAGGCCAGAATGGGTCCATAGGATCATGAGTTTGGGGCAGGACTTGGCTATCTATGGAAACTCCTTTTTTTAAAAATCTTATTATTTTTATTTTATGTGTATGAGTGTATTGCCTGCATGTGTGTTAGTGCAACCTGTGTCCTGAAATGCCCATGGAGGTCAGAAGAGGGTATCAGATACCCTGGAACTGGAGTTACAGATGACTGTTAGCTGTCATGTGGGAGTTGGGAACTGAACCCAGGTCCTCTGCAAGAGCAGCTGGCTAGTGCTCTTAACTATTGAGCCATCTCTCCAGCCCCAACAGTG